AAAAAACCCACATGGAAACTGAAGACCACTGGCAGCTCCATGGAGGAAAGGCCACAAGAACCTGCTGTCAAAGTCATCAGAGCTGCTCTTGGTTCTTCCAGCCGTCCTTTTGATCTCGTGGGGTATTTATATCTCCCAATAAGGCCCACCACTACCTTCCTATTCCACCTTAAAAAAAGAAGAAAAATCTACCTTGAGCAGGTTTATGTTGCTTACAGCTGAAAGAACCTTAACAAATACAACCAGGTTGGGGCTCTAAAAGAGGGGATTTAAGCTTTCTCCTATAGCATGTCCAAGAGAACTTTCTACGATAAGGGAAATGTTCTATATATGCCATCCAATAAGTTACCCACTGGTCACATGTGGCTATTGAACACTTAAAATATAGCTACTGCAAGAGAGAATCTGAACCTTATATTGTATTTCATGTTAATTAAGTTGAATTTAAATAACCATAAGTGGGCCAGGCACAGTGGTTCACGCCTGTAATCCCACCACTTTGGGAGGCCAAGGCGGGTGGATCACTTGAGGTCAGGAGTTTGAGACCAGTCTGGGCAACATGGTGAAACCCCGTCTCTATTAAAAATGCAAAAATTAGACGGGCATGGTGGTGCACTCCTATAATCCCAGCTACTGGGGAGGCTGAGGCAGGAGAATCACTAGAACCTCGGAGGTGGAGGTTGCAATGAGCCAAGGTCACACTACTGCACTCCAGTCTGGGCAACCAGAGCGAAACTCCATCTAAAAGAAAGAAAGAAATAACCATAAGTGACCAGTGGTTATGTGTTAGATGATGCAGTATGATGAGGATGATATGAACTCATTTTCTCTACTAAAGGACAGAACAAGAGAAAATGGATTTAAGAGGAAGCAATGAGGCTATGTATTGGCCGGGAGCCAAATCACTGGAAAAGAGGATCAGGAAAGGTTCCTGGAGGCCCCCGGCATGCTCAGAAGTGGCCATTGAGCAGAATGGTGTATTTTTTTGTTTGGGCTGCCTTAACAAAGTATCACAGACTGGGCGGCTTCACTCCAGAAATTAATTTTCTCGCTGTTCGGGAGACTGTAAGTCTGAGGCCGAGGTGTCAGCAGCTTGGTTTATTCTAAGGCCCATCTCCTGGGCTTGTAGATGTCCATCTTCTCCCCGTGTCTTCCTTCACGTGGTTTTCCATCTGTGCATGTCTGTGGCCTGATCTCTTCTTAGAAGGGTACCCATATGACCTCATTTTACTTGAGTTACCTCTTTAAAGACCCTGTCTCCAAACACAGTCACATTTTCGGGTACTGGGGATTAGGGCTTCGATGTATGCATTTGGGAGAGACACAATTTAGCCGTTAACAAGTGGTGTAGGTGTGAATATACCTGAGAGAAGGAGGAACGATGAAAATTCCAGTCACAGCATGGCCCGGAACTTGCAGTCTCCTGAGACCAGAGACCTGTTCAGCATTTTCCAATCTGAGTGTGGCTGTGCCTCGTGCATTTTAATTGTGGCATCAGATGAGCTGTAGATATGGCATAGCTCCTTTCTAGGTTACCATTTCCAGGGAGTTTAATGAGTGTGACTTAGTTCATGTAACTAAGAGATTTCAATGCCAGTTTTGACTCAGTCCATTCTTCCTTTGAAATCATCTCCAATTTTGTATTTCTCCTGCTACAATTGCAATTTAAAGCAGCCCTTTATGACCACGTACACGGGGCCTCAGAATAGCTTCCTGCACAGTCACCTGGTCTTTTAGTTTATCCCAATTCTCATTCATTCTATGTACCGAGTTCAGATTCTTCTACCCGTGAGACCATGTTCATGATTCCTCCCATTTCCCTGAAACTTCAAAGGACTCTCTCAACCCAGTCGTCCGAAGATGAATCCCAAATCCCTAACTTCTCATTAATTGTACTTTATCACCTACCTATATGACTTTATTTAGTCTTTGACTTCTGACTGTAATTTCTATTGCTATGACTTTAGATATCACCCTACATAGGACATTCATTTCTGTTGCTACTGAAAACAAAACAAAACAAAACCTTCTATGACCCCCAGATCTATTTTCTTACTTTCCACAACATTTCTCACATGTGTCAAGGCCCAGGTTCTTGTTTATGCTACTCATCTAGAATGCCTCCAAGAGCTCCAGGTCTCAAGGCACTTATTCATCACAAGAAAACTTTTCATTCATTCATTCATTTATTCATTCATTTATTATTGTTTGTAGAGACAGGGTCTTGCTATGTTGCCCAGGCTGGTCTCGAACTCCTGGTCTCAAGCAATCCTCCCACCTCGGCCTCTCAAAGTGTGGGGATTACAGGCGTGAGCCACTGCACCCAACTAAAAAGAAAGCTTTTATTCAAATGTTACTTTCTCAGAAATGTCTTCCCTGGTCATTCTGTGTGAAATAGTGCTCCATCAGCCAAAATCCTGTAACACTGCTTTCTTTTTCTTTATGATGGTATGGGCTGAGTTGTACCTCCTCACCGCAAATTTGTATGTTGAGGTCCCAACCTCTAGTTTGTTGGGGTCCGTGCCGGGGGCGGTGGAGAATGAGAGAACACACAAAAGACAAAGACACACAGAGAACATGGCGGCCGCGCCCAGAGCCTCCGCCTCACTTTATTTATACTCCATAAACCCCACGTCAGCAGAAAGAACGCAATGCAAAACAAACTTTCTTTTCCCAGATGTAACCTTCTACTCAGTTCTTTGTTTCTATGCTCTTCTTTATCTGCCCGCCTTCTTGGCGCCTACGGGAGTTCATTAAAAGTTCAATTGGAGATACTGTCCTTGAGCCCTATCTATTCTCAGCATACTGTTTTCAAAGGCCCCTGCACTAGTTAGCTCAGGATGTGATCGTATTTGGAGAAAGGGTCTTTAGAGAGGTAATTAGGGTCAAATACGGTCATACGGGTACCCTCCTAAGAAGAAGAGATTAGGACCCAGATACGTACAGAGGGAAAACCGTGTGAAGACACAGGGAGAAGGTGGCCGTCTGCAAGCCAGGGACAGGGACTTTACAAGAAAGTAACCTGCAGACACCTCAATCCCAGACTCACAACCTCCAGAAGGGAGGTGAGGTGGTGAGAGGGTCTTTTCTTATTTATTTTTATTTTTTATTTTAGTTATTATTATTTTTCTATAGCCCAATCTTGGAAGTAAAGAGATAGGGTCTTTAGACTGTATTTGGCACACCATTCTATGTGCCCAGCTCTGCCCATCCCTGCCTCCTTCTAGGGTTTAGTAAAGGAAGCCCATCTGCCTGCAGCTAAAAACTACATTCTCCAACCTAGACTTTGTTGACCATAGGGTCTTTAGAGAGGTGATCTTTAAATTAAAATGAGGTCATTCTTGTGGGCCCTGATCTGGTATGACTGGTGTCCTTATAAGAAAGAGGCGATTAGCACATATACACATGCACAGAGGAGAGGCTGTGTGAAGACGCAATGAGAAGACTATCTACACACCAGGAAGAGAGCCCTGGAACAGACCTTCCCTTGTGACTCTCAAAAGAACCCAACTCTGCTGGCACCTTGATCTCTGACTTCCAGCCTCCAGAGCTGAGAGAAAATTTCTTTCTTTCTTTCTTTCTTTCTTTCTTTCTTTCTTTCTTTCTTTCTTTCTTTTCTTTCTTTTCTTCTTTCTCTTTCTTTCTTTCTTTCTTTCTTTTTCTTTTCTTCTTTCTTTCTTTCTTTCTTTCTTTCTTTTCTTTCTCTTCTTTCTTTCTTTCTTTCTTTCTTTCTTTCTTTCTTCCTTTCTTCCTTCCCCCCTTCCTTCCTTTTCCCTTCCCCTTCCTTCCTTCCTTCCTTCCTTCCTTCCTTCCTTCCTTCCTTCCTTCCTTCCTTCCTTCTCTTTCTTTCTTTCTTTCTTTCTTTCTTTCTTCTTTCTTTCTTTCTTTCTTTCTTTCTTTCTTTCTTTCTTTCTTTCTTATTTTGAGACAGAGTCTCGCTCTGTTGCCCAGGCTACAGTGCAGTGGCACAATCTTGGCTCACTGCAACCTCCGACTCCCAGGTTCAGGTCATTCTTGTGCCTCAGCCTCCCCAGTAGCTGGGATTACTGGCTCATGCCACCATGCCCAGCGAATTTTTGTATTTTTAGTAGAGATGGGGTTTTGCCGTGTTGCCCAGGTTGGTCTCCAACTTCTGACCTCAAGGGATCCACCCACCTTGGCCTCCGAAAGTGCTGGGGTTACAGGCATGAGCCACTGCGCCCAGCTGAGAAAATTCATTTCTGTTGTTCAAGTTACCCGGTCCATGTTACTTTGCTATGGCAGCCTGAGCAAAGTAACACAGCTATATATACCACTATCTAACTTTTTTTTTTGAAGGGGGGTCTATAATCCCTCACTAGAAATTAAGTTCAGAAGGGCAGTAACATAGTCTTGTTCACTGCAGTGTCTCCTTATCTAGAGCAATGCCTGGCGGGCAGAAGGTGCTCAGTGAATGGGTTTTGGAAGACCATTCTTTGTGCCCAGCTCTGCCTATCCGTATGTGCCCAGCTCTGCCCATCCCTGCCTTGTTCTGGGGTTTAGAAAAGGAAGCCCATCTGCCTGCCTCTATAAACTACAACATCCAACCTAGCCTTTGTTGGCCATAGATGTAGTGCTTTGGTCTCTATTGGCTTTATCTCATTTCTCAATTGGCTTAGAACTTGGGCAAGGAGGAAGGGTGCTAGTTCTTAGTACTCTTGCTCCCTAACACCCTGCAGTATCTTGCCAATGGCAGACACTCAGTGAATATTTTCCTAAATAAGGTCCTATTTACATGTTTCCTGACAATCTCATGCATGCAATATTTTGATTCCCAGCTAGCATCCCAGCTTCTAAAGGGGAGAGTTGTCCCTAAGCCCTGAAATTCTGCCCACTTGTAGTAGGGGTTCAATACATTTTTAATGAATGAATGACACATATACCCATTCTGTGGGGCCCTTGGGGAATATTAATTGAGCTTCCAGCAGCTCCCTTCTCTGAGGATCATCTCACTTCCCTGTCTCTTCATTTCTCCTCCACAGCGTGCAAAGCACGGAGGGAAAGTAGGAGTGTTTGTACCATGAGTCTCTGCACACCCCTCATCTTGGCTATAGTAGACTGGACCACAGATGGACACTGTACCGTGCAGATTACTTCTTCCAGGAACTTGGACTGAGACCAAGAGACTCACAGCATCCTCTTCTGGCTGTAAGACTTATATTTTTATATTTAGGCAATGGAAGAGGGGCAGCAGATGCCTACCTTGTGGAACAGAGCAATGAAGGCAGTTCACAGAGAAAGAGGACTAGGCAGTCGGGCAGAGGGGAGTCGGCTTGGGAGCTTCCTGGAGCCAATATCCATCTCTGCCCTTTTTTTCCACTCGATGCTCCTGAGTCCCTGCCGTCAACCCCCACTTCTTTGCTTACACTGGTTTGAGTTTGTTTCTGCTGTTTGAAAAAACAACAACAAAACCCCAAACAAAACAAACATCAAACAAAAACCAAAACAAAACCATTAACTCACTCATCCCTGTGATCATATTTTGAGACATAGGGGTGATTTCCTTCAGAAAACAAAGCATAAAAATCCCGCCCCCCTCCTCTACCTCTCCAATTACCTATTAAAGCCCATTTGCTCCACAGTAATGTAGGAGCTGTTCCCACACATCAGCTCATGTTCAGTGTTGGACAGCATTTCTTTGCAATTCTTTCCAAATCAAAGATAGTACACCTGTGCTCCCAAATCTACCAGGAACACTCAATGTTTTCAAATCTATCTCTTTCTAAATTGCCTCATAAATTCTTGCTGTTCTCAGGATCACCTTTCTCAACTGTACCAGCTGAGATCAACTCAGGTGGTTACCCTAACAGTTCCAAGATGCTCAATCGGAAATGCTAAACAAAGATCTTTCTGGGAAGAAGGGTGTTCAGAGTGTGTGTGTGTGTGTGTGTGTGTGTGTGTGTGTGTGTGTGTGTGTTTGCAGCAACACTGTTCAGGGAGAAAATAGGGAGGAAACAAATCCTTGTGCATTAAATTCAGATTGCAGTGAAAGAACAAAATTGTCAGACACTTCTTCAAGGACTTCCACCTGTCTTCATTAGTTTCTTATTGATAACCAGTGAGAAGGCAGTTGCTGTGGATGTTGTTGTCAGATGGTGGCTTAGACCAGGAGGTGTTGGTGGAGACAGAGTGGGCCCAATGAGAGCAAGAATCAGAGACAGAAAAGGAAGAAATAGGTAATAGAGGAGGGAATCAAACCTAGCAATGATAAATTCAGTGAGGAAAATGAGAGCTGGGGCATTGTCCTCTGGGAGGACTGACAGGTAAACCGGGACCTGGAGAATCTGGGGAGAGAAAAAGATTCCAGGATAGGGGAACAACTTCATGTAAGGCCCTTGATTTTTAACAGGACTGGCCGGCTCTAGAAACAGAAGGAAGGTACCTATGGCTGGCGCAGAGCGAAGCAAACAGGAGGAGGGGTCACAGAAGGAAGGGAGCAACACCCCAAGGTCCCTGGAGGCTCTGGTCATTGTAGCCAGTCAAAGGGCTCTTTTTTTCCTGTTTACATAGGATTTTTCCTTTTAAAGAAAATGGGCTGGGCATGGTGGTTCACGCCTCTAACCCCAGCACTTGGGGAGGCTGAGGCGGGCGGATTGCCTGAGGTCAGGAGTTCCAGACCAGCCTGGCCAACATGGTGAAACCTGATCTCTATTAAAAATACAAAAATTAGCCAGACTTGGTGTTGTGCACCTGTAATCCCAGCTTCTCAGGAGGCTGAGGCAGGAGAATCGCTTGAACCCGAGAGACAGAGGCTGCAGTGAGCCGAGATCACGCCACTGCACTCCAGCCTGGGTGACACAGGGAGACTCTGTCTCAAAAACAAACAAACAAACAAGCAAAAAAAATTAATAGACTATTGTTAAGAGCGGTTTGAGGTTTCCAGAAAAATAGAGCAGAGCGTACAGAGTTCCCAGGTATCTTCTCCCCTGTTCCTCTGCCTCAGTTTCACCTATTATTAAAGATGTTAATCTTTGCATTAGTGGGCACATTTATTACAATTGGGGAATCAATACTGACACATTATTATAAACTCTATAATTTACATTAAGGTTCACTCTTTCACTGAAGGGATCTTAGTGCTTAGTGTAGGTGGCGGATGAGACTGACTTGGTCTGATGTACAATTTTGGAAGACCCAGGTTCACAAAAGCTGTTTTTACGGGCTGGATTATATTCCCTACCCCCTCCAAAAAAAAAAAAAAAAAAAAATTCCTATACTGAAGTCCTAACCCGCAGTATCTCAGAATATGTGAAGTTATTTGGAAATCGGGTCACTGGAGATGTAATTAAGATGAGGTCACACCGGAGTGGGGTGGGCTGTAATCCGATATGACTGGTGTCTTTATAAAAGGGAGAAACAGGAACACAGGCATATACAGGGAAGACACCCAATAAACCTGAAGATGGACATGCACAAACCCTGCAGAGAGACCCCGAACAGGTCTTTCCGTCACTGCCCTGGGAAGAAACCAGCCCTGCCAACACCTTGAATTATGGGGTTCAGCCTCCAGAACCATGAGACAATCCATTTTTGGTGTTTAAGCCCCCCAGTCTGTGGTACTTTGTTATGGCAGCCCTAGTGAACTCATAACAGCTGTGAAGATGTTTAGGCAAACCTGCTGAGGGCCTGGCGTGCTGGCTCACACCTGTAATCCCAGCATTTTGAGAGGCTGAGGTGGGAGGATCGCTTGAGGTCAGGAGTTCAAGATAGGGCCTCACTGTGTCACCCAGGCTGGAGTGCAGTGGTGCAATCACAGCTCACTGCAGCCCTGGCCTCCTGGGCTCAAGTGTTCCCCCTGCCTCAGCCTACTGAGTAATGGGATTACAGGTATGTGCCACCATGCCCAGCTAATTTTTTACAAAGAAGTTTTAGTAGAGATGAGGTATTAGTAGGTTTCCTAGGATGGTCTCGAACTCCTGGCCTCAAGAGATCCTCCCACCCAGCTTCCCAGAGTGCTGGAATTACAGTCATTAGCCACTGCACCTGGCCTCCAAATTTATTTTTGAAATCACCTAAGTAAAAAGAACAGCTGCAAGCAAACAAATATCATATTTTTTCTTACCATTCTCACTAGAGAAGTCTCTAGGGGCACCTAGTTCTCTAGGTGGGTAGGCACCAGGTAACTGTATTCTCTAGAGAACTGTTTAATCTTGTGTATAGCGTTTGTATAGCAAAAAAATATACCCTATTACCAGAAGTTGAGTCTACAGAGTAGTAAGTGAAAATGAAAAGTGGTTATCTTTATTCTATACAGGTGATACGGTTTGGCTTTGTGTCCGCACCCAAATCTCATCGCAAATTGTAATCCCCAGGTGTCGAGGTGATTGGAGCGTGGGGGCAGTTTCACCCATGCTGTTCTCGTTATAGTGAGGGAGTTCTCACGAGATCTCATGGTTTTATAAATGGCAGTTTGCCTGGGTTTCTTTTTTCTCCTGCTACCTTGTGAAGAAGGTGTCTGCTTCCTAGTCCGTCATGATTGTAAGCTTTCCGAGGCCTCCCCAGCCATGTGGAACTGTGAGTAAATTCAACCTCTTTCCTTTGTAAATTACCCAGCCTTGGGTAGTATGTTGATAGCAGTGTGAAAACGGACTAATACAACAGGTTTAAAAGCACGTTTATGAGATATTTAAGAATAACAACACTCTCTGTTCCAGGGAGTAAACTGAGTTATTTACAGTGGATCTCACCTGTGATGCTAGGATTATTTGGAAAGAAGGAACACAGCCTCCCTTAAGCAACTTGAGCAAAGTGGCGTAGAGCATAAAACACACGTGGGCTAGAGCAAAAACCATTCGGAAGTGAGGCGTGTTCAAAGATAGACTTTCTGCTGGCTTTATCATCTGGTCTGTATGTTCTCTCCTAAGTACGGCTGCTTGTTTCCCTGATTCTCAGTTCTCCTGTCAGTCCTAACTGACCCTGCCTTTATGTATTCCTTGATTCCAGAGAGAATTCATCTCCTTTGTTTAGTTCATTACCACAGCGACTTTGGGAAGAGTCCTTTGTATGAGGCCATGTCAGGTCATCGGACAGGTTTACGGCCAGGCTGTCTAGGGCACTTTGTGGGACTCTGTGGGTTGTGCCTAGGGGCTCTGGGGCTGTCTGTGGGCCCCCCGACAAGCCTCTGGTCCAGTCAGTGGCTGCTCTTGTAGAAGGAATGGTTGAGTTGTCTGTGACCATATGGGGTGCCTTGCTTTCATATTCTGTTTACGTGAATTGCAGTTATCACCTGTGTTCTTCGAAGCTCATCAGTCTGAAATGGTATAAGAGTGTGAAGAAAACAAAAGCAGGGAGGCGGGGCATTGCTGGAACAACAATAATCTCTTCATTGGTTGTTTTCATATCTATTAACTTTGCAAATTTCATCTGCACGTCGGATATGCAAAACTGAATCTTGTTTGAAAACTTCAAGTATTCAATAACTTAAAATTTGAAAGCTTCAAATACTCAAATAACCTAAGTGCAACATCTTTTTTTTTTTTTTTTTTTAAAGACAGTGTCTCACTCTGTCCCTCAAGCTGGAGTGCAGTGGCGTGATCTCAGCTGACTGCAACCTCCACCTCCCAGGTTCAAGCGATTCTTCCACCTCAGCCTCCTGAGTAGCTGGCATTACAGGTGCCTGCCACCACACTTGGCTAATTTTTTTTTTTTTTTTTTTTTTTTTTTTTTTTTTTTTTTTTTTTTTTTTTTTGTATTTTTAAGTAGAGACGGGGTTTCACCACATTGGCCAGGCTGGTCTTGAACTCCTGGCCTCAGGTGATCCACTCGCCTCGGCCTCGCAAAGTGCTGGGATTACAGATATGAGCCACTGCACCCAACCCCAGTAGTAATTTTTAAATATCTATCTTGTCAACAAATGCCTGATAGCAAATGTAAAATGTTACAGTGGACAGGCTGTTCAAACATTGTGAGGAAAACCGTCTTTTTAAGAAACCGACAATGAAACTGACATCTCTAGTTCCCTTACCACATAAATAAAAGCCCTTAGTACAGAAGTATCTTTTGGGAGAAAAAAAAAAAAGTTTAAAAAGCAAATGAGAGGACTGCATTGGCTCACAATTAGAGGAAAATGGAAAGTTTTCAGGAACAATCAAAATAACTCTCTGTCCCACCCCTGCCCTTTCCACTGAAGGAGGACACGCTGTCATTAC